CTGTTAACTGCCGTTTATGTGATGTGCCGGAAACGATTGAACATTGCTTTGTTAGCTGCAAAGATGCCATACTGTTTCGGGATGTCCTTCAGCGAGCACTAAAAAACGTTTCGTCATTAATTCTCACACGATACGCTATCTACTACCAGCAGCGCTTGATGAAGTACCATATGACATGTTTTTCCTCATGGGTATGCACAGCTTGTGGAAGACACGAATGCAAGACCGCAATGCAGAGCCCACCACATCTTCAAGCACTCACTTTATTCAAGTGACTATCCACCTCGAAAACATTCACGACGGGCTTGACTTTATACCGGACTGGTACTGCATCTTAGAGAACTGTTTGACCTCACCCCGTTTTTGTTTGCATAACACGATGTGAAGATCTCTCAATGTGAGGAACTCACGCTGTGTTAGCCATTAAGGGCTTATGAGTAACGCTTGAGTGCTTATTTTCGCGATTTGATCGTACTTTTGTTCGCTAGATTTGTCTTTATTGCGCAAATACTTTATTAAATACCATGCAAAAAAAACGGCGTGGCTCAATGGTAGAATACTGGGCTGTCACCCAATAGACCCACGTTCGAGCCTCACTGTGCCATTGTTACTACGTTTTTTGTTCTGATTTCGCGCGATGTGTTACACACACTGGCGGTGGTGGCAGCGGCGGTGGACAACTACGGCGCTGTGGGAGACCCGAGTGTTGATCTCATAACAGCTTTCATTTTATTATTTTGTCGATTGGCGTATACGACGCAGTACGAATAACATGCTTTATAATAATAATAATATCAAACTTTCCAATACTACGAAGAAAACTGCTTCGCTTAGCTAAAAATATCTGAAGTTTCACGTCCCAATGTCGTATACAGTGGAGGTCTCAAGAAAATTTTAATGTGCTCTTTAACGTGCACTGGCAGTGCACATTACACGAGCTTCTATCCCTCTGCCTCCATTGAAGAGCAACTGCCATGGCTGATATCGAACCCGCGACCTTTGTGTCAGCAGCCAAGAACCGACAACAAGAACCACTGCTCCACGGTTACCGACGGCTTCGCTAAGCTCTTGCGAACAAGGGTGGAGCCATGCGCTTGCATCACATAACCTATCGAAGTAACGCAACATAATGCACTGTTTTAATACTGCTCCCGCAACCATTGTCTTCATTATGGTTTACGGTCATTAAAATAGTACTAAACTGTGCCACTGCTGCTACTGTTGCCACCGCCACCACATCGTGCATAGGTGACTACTATGAGCAAGGAGGCACAAAATCAGACCACTATTTTTGGCGCCAGCATCTGCACTCTTGATTCAATGCCAATGGCACCCACGATAAAATTACTGCCACGTCTACTGAGGTTCATCGATTGGCTTGCCAAAGTAGCACACAATACACGGCACCGTCTGCCAATACGATATCGAGCCTTAATTTCTATTTGCGTCAAGGTTCGCAATCAGACGCTACGTAAGCGTCGTCGCCTGTCCATAACGGCCGTTATTGACCCGTCCGCCATCAATCGTCGTGGAACAACCGATAAAAAGTCGATCGCGCAATCGATTCGCGCCGCGGTTCCCTTAATCTCGCGCCGCCAGGAGAAGGCCACTCGCTGATAAGCAGCCGCAGCCAGTCGCGCTGATGGCCAGCGGCGCGCCGTCGTCCTCCACGTGCCCACTATCGCGTCGAGACGGACGGCCGTCTTGAAGCGTGCCGTATCCGCCAGTTCGGGGCCGATCTCGCCCGTTCGCGAGTGGCAGCAGTGACGTTGCGTTGCCGATATAGGATGCGACGCAGACGTCGCCGGGACGTCGCCTATCACGTCGATGTCGAGAAAACAACGCGTCGGGCGTGATCTCGACCACGTACACGCCGTAGAAATAACGCCTGTCACACAGAGAAGATGCAACACGTTTTTCTTTTACGAACTCTTAGATTGATAGAATTACGGCTTCATCCCGGCTGCGGCGGCTGCATTTCCGATGGAGGCGGAAATGTTGTAGGCCCGTGTACTCAGATTTGTGTGCACGTTAAAGAACCCCAGGTGGTCGAAATTTCCGGAGCCCTCCACTACGGCGTCTCTCATAATCATATGGTGGTTTTGGGACGTTAAACCCCACATATCAATCAGAATTACGGCTTCAGATGAAGTCTTATCACTTCGCAGTTTTGCAACATACAGCTAAATATCTGTATACAAGTAGTTTTTGCAAAACGTTCCACGTCATAATGCGACTGTTGAAGAGGGGAATCGGACCCCACCTTCAAGCTCAGAAGCGCAACGCTATATCACACTTAAGGCTTTGCGGAAGGTCTCTCACGGCTCGTTTATCAATCATATTCTTCTTCATTTTCCTATCCTCACAAGTGTACTCAACAAAAAAAAAAACGGAGGTCACACAGACTCACTCGAGAATTACATTTCCCGTTTAAGGCGCACTTGGACTTACCTGACTCACTCAAACTCAGACTAACTAAAATTTTACTCACCTGGACTCTCTCAGGTTTACGGAGTTACTCCACTCATGACTTGTGAGTTTGCCAACCTATGTTCACGAGACAGCGGTCTCCCCATCGCGCTGCTGTTCCACGCAACTTCCGTGACATTGCATTCATCTGCACTCGCGTGATCATTATTAGCCCCGGCATTCGTTCCTGCCTTCACTGTTCTTCTTGGGCAGCAGTCCTTGTCTGAGGCCCACAACTCTGTTGCTCCGTCGTGAGTTTTCGAAATTGATGCTAATATCAGTAATACATTCTTCGGAATGGGATTTTCTATGCGGTACAGAAATAGAAATTCAAGGCCAAGCGTTGTTTTGTGCAGTTGGGGATTAAAACGTGAGCAAGCAACGTACACATAGTACGTCCACTTTGTGCGCCATATTCTTGAGAATCTTTCTTAGCTTATTTCTTTCGCTTTCCCACTCTTCCAATTTGTCCTCACTTTCGATTTTTATCTCTATGAATATGCACAACACTTCGGCGGTGACACCTGCACAGGCCCCCATACCCACCCTCAATAAACACCTTTGTCAGTAATAAGGTTGCTGACAAAATAATTGATGCTGTCTTTCTTTCGCAGTCTATTCAGCAAGAGAAAACATTCATGTCAGCCATCAAGTTGCCGGAGAGTGAAAGATGGAGGAGGATCGGTTTTTCAAATTCGAAATTTATTTTAGGCGAAAATTAAATGAAGTACAACTTCGCCAAGGGGGCCAACGAAAAGGCATAAAAGCCTCACAAGTCACCTGGCCCTTGTATACCCCAAGATCCTACCAAAATGAAGCAATCCGCAGTATAAAACGAACATTGAATAAGAAAATAAGCATAAAGGAATATTGCTAAATGTAGGTCACGTGTGTATATGAAAGCAAAAACTACCGTATTGTCCCAAGATATGCCATCAATAAGTAGCTCTTGTGACTAAGAAATGAAACGCAGTTTGAAAAACCCATCACAACGTGATTGTGTTTTTATACGACAAAAATTAAGATTTTCGAGACATGAGCTTTCAATTTTTAAGATTTCCAAACAACAAATCTTTTGATTTCACTTTACAATCCTTCTTTGATAGAAATGTTATACTGCCATGGTTCTACGGGAATGATAGATAATAGCACATCATATTACCGCAGGTGGTCGAAATTGCCGGAGCTCTCCACTACGGCGTATCTCATAATCATATGATGGTTTTGGGACGTTAAACCTGGCATACCAATCAAAATCATCATATTATATTACCTACTGCTTGGCGACGGATTAAATAAGCAGCGGGTATTCCATGCCTCGCGAGCAGCGGTGTCCGTTCAGAAAAAACGGCTGCATTACTTTCAGGCAGCGCAGTATCCTACAGTATGGTGAGTTGCATTCACTTCCTAGCTGTCCGCATGGACACCTTTATTATTTTGAAGCTTCGAGCTGCACAGAAACATACATTGGGTAGAGGAAGCACATCCATGCATGACAGTATAAGCGTCTTTTTTTCTTGCAGAAAAGAAATTTGTTGTTGTCTGTGCAGCGTGAGAGCCGTTATCTCACATGTTTTTACCCAAACACCATTTGTTATCGTTCCGTTAGCACAACGAAAACAAAACAAAAAAAGACCTCGGCTGTTTTGATGCAATTAGGAAAACATTGTGATCTCGAGAAGCCTTATCAAGGTCGCCGCTGACGCGCGCCGTGCCAAGGTCGCGTGCCACTTATCTCGGCCTGCTCGAATGTGCTGGAAGCATCTGGCCGGTCATGTCGTGCTCCCTACAATTAAACTATAATTGAGCCGTTCTTTTTCGCAGTCAATTTTTTACGCAATATTCATAAACAATGATAGAGAGAGTTATCGTTCCCACGCACACGGCGCTTTCTTCAGTCACCTATGAGGGGAGCCGGCACCAATCTGCCCAATACATTGACCATACATGAGAGGGGTGCGCTAAGACAAAACTTAACCCCACCCCATGATGTGTAACCCTGAGCACGTTTATGTGCGTCACCACGTAGTAATATAGTAACGAAGCTAATGGCAATGCGCAGAACACTGTCACTTCAAGTGTGAGCATAGCTGTCGCTACACACATGTTCCTGTTTATTTCACCCTTTGAGCCAAACTGCAATATTTCTTTGGCTGTTGATCGTATTGCCGCTATGACCGTCGTTTTAACGTGGTTGTCGTCGTTATTCATGGCAGAGTGTGCTTTGGTGTGTTCGTAATCCATTTTACTATTTTAGCGCACTCGTCAACAAAACAGAAGGTATAGAAGCGCGATGTCCTGTGTCGGCAGCATTTCATTTTGGAGGTTAAATATCCGTCAGCCATTGCGGCTTGGTAAGGGGGAGTGCTGCTCTACATTGGATGGAGGCAAGTGGTAGAGTGTGGTTTGAGGGGCTTTCGCAATATTCTGTAATAATCTGTAAGTTTCAGTAATCTCGTGGGAGCTGTAATCCGTTTTTGTTTAGAAGTGCGCAAAAAAAGTAAAGTTTTGGTCTTTTTCCTTTATTCGTCTTTTTTTTTTTGTTGCGGTTGCCATAGAAACAGTTGATTGCAGTTTAACAGCAGTGCTCTCAAGCGAAGCCATCCTTATGAGAAATAATTAACGGTCACATTAGAGCACATTACTTTCCCAGACGTCGGTTGGAGGGTAGAGCAAATAGATGAAGTACCTTCACGTGTAGACATCCAAGGTTAGAAACCTGCGCATTGCGAAGAAGTATGAAGTGTAGGAGCTGTCAGCTAAACACAGACGTTAAGGGCACATCATAAAAGAGGGTACGGTGCGCACAGCCGCACAAACTGCTATTATAAACTAAAAGGATATGAATCGCAGCTTAGAAGAAAGAAGGCACAAAAGCTTATCTGCGCCTCCGTAGGTATTCCAGCACCACCTATCAATGCGCACACGCGGGGGGTCTACGCGGAAGAACTGTTCAGACATTTGATTTCTTCGTTACGTAAATTATTCGAAGGTTGGATCACGCATGCGCTTCTAGTACTACCAATACGCCAGCCATCAAGCAACAGGCACGTTCCTTTATTTTGTAGAATGCTGTGCATTTGTAGATTTGCCTGCATTTACTATCGCTCACGACTATGTGAAGAACGATGACATGGGGAGCATCTATTTAACGATCTCTTATGCTCCATTAGTTTTCAATTAACACAAGGGCCCGTCTGTAGCACTGCCTGCAAGGAATCATACATTCTGCAGCAGTTCCGCAGCCAGCACAGCTTGTAAAGTATACACTGGCTGTATATGAGCATACAGATCACGCTGCCCCGAAAAAGCGCTACCGCAGCTGCACACCAACTCCACGCATCGGAATCTCGACCGTAAACTGTAATAGTCTTAAGCAGTTTTGGTGAGGTAAAGGCTCAGCGTGGACGGCGCCTTGCGCTGCGTGACATGATTCGTGCGACAGACAAAGGAGCAAGGTGAAAGCCTCAAAACATATTTACACCCCCCAGATCCCGACTTGGGAAGGCAGCAGGCAGGCGGTGCTGATACAGCGTCGCGACTTCTATAGAGGGCTATCAAGTGCAATATTGCTTGAGCATAGGTGAGCAGAAAATGGCAATCTCGCCACGATAGCGTCTTCCAGGTAATGTACTCGAGAACGCTGAGCACCCGAGCTAAGCAAATAACGGAAGCGATAGCCGCTGGGTTGCATCGGTAGAATGAAAAAAAAAAAGGAAATGCGATAGAGTGCTAATCACAGTCGACGTCTGTCCCGTATTATAGATTGCAAGGGTTTTGGCTCAAGTAATGTCAGAAAGTCATTGCGCTTAAGTAGGGTTCCTTAGATCTTTCGATTCCCGGTCATGTGGCAATTACGCTGTATGATATCAGGGTCATCCATTGGCAGTGAAAAATCCATCATTACTGCCGGCAAATAAAATTCGCAAGAGTATAGTGTATAGGGTGGCACCTGGTGGCACTTCGATTACAATCTTAGCTTTGGGGGCCGTTAAAATTGTACGCCATAGTCACAAGCAATGTGCTCAGCAGTCTACTAACGACGCGTTCAAGTCATGATTTAGTCTTGCTCCGCTGTCAGCGAAATGATATAGCCCTTGTACGCCACAGAAAAAGGCCTTGCAAGCGCTACTGCGCTATATATTTGAGATCGACCAGCCTTTCTGAACGGTTGTAGCCAGAACGCCCTTCCTGTGTGCGTCTTTGTTTTCTCCGGAGTATACTGTGCGTTTCTCTCTCTCTCTCTCTCTCTCTCTCTCTCTCTCTCTCTCTCTCTCTCTCTCTCTCTCTCTCTCTCCACCCTCTTTCTTGCCCCTAATTTCCCATGCCCCGTGTGGGGTAGCAAACCGGATGCCAATATCAGGTTTATCTCAGAGCCTTCCTTTTCTCTCTCTCTCTCTCTCTCCCTCTGAGACAGCCCATAACGAACGATTTCACGTGCACGTGGGCCAGTCCTAAATAAATATGGTTAGTTACGTTTTCATCAGCCTTAAAGCGAAGGTGCACAGAACGATATTCCACGTGTCTTGACGCTTCCAACACGTGTTGCGCAGCCCTCACACACTTCTGGGAACCGCCCCCAGAAGGAACTACACATGCAGCGAAAGTGATAAAGGCAAAAAAATAATAAAACCGACGCCAGAGAAGCGCTTGGAAGCATTGACGTGGAAGTATTGATCGGATCCCTTTTCTCACGCGCCACACGCTTGGCGTTTTTTTTTTTTTTTTTTTTTCAGAATGATCGTTCCTTGCCGCATCAATTTCCGCCGCCACCGCTTCAGCTTTCGAAACTTGGAAAGCGAACACTCCGCGTTTGTGGGATGAAAGAGATTCGTGCGAAGGCGGATGTTCAACGAACACGTGTACCGCAGAAGACACGAGGAGAGGAACGACAAAAAAATTGCCCGCAGCTTCCCTCGGGGGAACACTGAGGAGGATGCGGAGCATATAATTGGTTAACGGGGTGTTAAAGTGCGACTTACTTGGGTCGATGGCTAAATTGGTTAACGTGGTTGTGAAATGGGGTGTTAAATTGCGACTTACTTGGGTCGATGGCTAAATTGGTTAACGCGGTTGTAGGAGGGGGTGTTAAATGAGTGAACACGTACACACGTATGCGAAAGGGCGGCGCTGGTCGAAGGGACGTCGATCATTGTGTTTGTGGATTCGTTGGAATTCATTTCACCGCGACCTTGGACGTCGACGCGCCGTACAAACCAACCGACGAGCGGCAACTGAGCGAGCGAGCGCCGACCTTGAGTATATATACAGCTCGACGGCGCATGCACTGTCAGCTGTTGAATGTTCTCGAAGCGCGACGCCACATGCGCGTCCACTGGAGAATCAGGAGAATTGTAGATGTCGAACGCCGTGTGTAGAGGAGGAAGGGTGCACAGATGGTGGAGGAGTGAAGCACGCGCGGTGTGTAGAGGAGGAAGGGATGCACAGATGGTGGAAGAGTGGGCGACGGCGCATGCGCGCGCGTCAGCTGTCGAATGTTCGAGAAGCGGTGCGGACGGCGCGGACGGCGCGGACGGCGCACTACAAGGCGCGAGTATAAGATGCTCCGCATCTAAAAAAAAACTGCCAGAATCCATGGCACATTTGGCCAGCAAAACAACAGTTCTCTGATAGAGAGCTACACTTGTTCAGATGGTCGATCGTTTAGCTCAAGTTTATTGAACTCAGGCTGAACAAACCAGTCTTTATCTATACATACAGTAGACTTGAAATATAAGAACAGTTTAGTACGAACATATACTGAAGGAGGCCAAACGGAGTGCAAGCTTCCGACTGTTCCAAATGTACGAATACTGTGTTACAATTACATGTATGTGCAATGATGTACGTAGCATGCCACAAAAAATTAATTCATGCAATAGTCCAGTTACAGGCTACTAAAAAAAACCATACTTTCTGCTAGCTAGAGTAACACTGATGTATCGCTAATACCTGACGACCCTCAGGTCTTCATGTTAAAGGCATACAACAATTTTTATGGCCAACAGTGTAATTCTTCACGGACTAGTCCGTAAAAAAAAAAAAAAGCCCAGTCTAGAGACGTGCTCTCGTGGTGTACATTTCGAACAACACTTGTCTAGTGCGGCCTATAAATCGGCTGGATCGGCCGCCGTTTTTACCAAACGTATGCCGAAACCGCCACCTGTCATGATGTCACACTATTTGGCACGTGCGCTACCAAGCATCCAGAGTGTATGTGTGATGCGGCACATAATCGATGAATGCTTATGCTAAAATACAAGCATAAACAGAAGCTTGCAGTTACAGTAAGGTGGCAGCTGCGGACGGCGCCAGCGTTTTGCTGGCTGCTCTAATGCTCCAGAAAAATGTAATTCAGACCACTCTCGTGGAATGCTATACAGCTATTCCAAGAGATAGGCTGTGGCAGTTGGGCTTGCATAACGAGATAAGGCAAACGTTGGCGGAGAAGTTATTGAATGGACTTTTTTTGTTGTTGCTGCTGTTGAAGCCAACTTAGACGTAAATACACATTTGCACGAGTCCCCGCTGTTGTCTTTCTCAGGTATGTTTCCTCAGAAAAGTTTGAGCACTCTTCTTTTAAAGCATTGTTATTCTTTACGTCTCCTATAATTACCTCATGGATGAATTATGGCCCAAGAAGTACTGGAGATCTCGGCTGAATATTTGGTTGAATGGACTGACGATATTTGAGTATTTTCGATTGTATTTAATTCAGCACTTTAGGTCCAGGCACAATTTTCAATTTCATGGAAACGTGACCTCACGGGTATATCTTCTGTGCTTTATTCAGAGTAACAGTGCAACCTTTGACTTTCGTGCCCTCTTCTGCACAATATACTACGAGTGTTCTTACTTTTAAAAGTGTTAAACAACTCTCAAACTAAAAGAAAAAAAAAGGCCTAGGAGGAACAAGCTCTTCGAGATGGCGGAGACACACTGGCTTGATTATTGTACCCTTCCAGGCGGCGTAGTAAAATGACGCTTTATTTCGATAGCAATTACATGGCTACTCTCGGCTGGATTTTGCCGCCGGCGACAGCGTCACCGTCGCTCACCGTATATGTATACGTATGTATATCATGAAAACGCAAGAAAAAAATTCCAGAAAAAGACTCCGGCACGCAGACTCGAAGGTGGAACCTTTGAAACGTGAGTGCGAGGAGTTAACAACTGAGTCACGGAGAAGCACGTCCCCCAACGTTCAAACGCCAAGCTATTTATATCTACCACTTACCGCTGGTGTCAGGCATCTCGGGGGGGGGGGGGGGGGTACAATCGTGCTTTCAGCATTACCAGCAATATGGCGAAGTGAGTGCCACATCGTCACGACGCGGCGGCGCACGCTCTCGTCTCACACGCGTACTTTGCCCTGCGAAGAAGAGGTTATCTCGCGGTGGGCAGGAACGTACGTCTTGGCTGGATTTGGGCTTTCGCCGGAAGAATTATATTTACGTTACCCGGCGCACAAAGGTCACTACAATCGTTGCACAGTCTCCGTTTGCGAAAAGAGTGCGCTTTTCAGACACAGTGAAGTTACAACTGAGACTTCGCATTGATCTGTACATTCGCATTGATCTGTACTGTGAATTCACAGTTACAACTGTGAATTCGCATTGATCTGTACCAGTGAGTACGTTTCGTGCGTGAGAAACGTGGGCCACGTTTCGATCTGCTTGTCATTCTGCGCGTGACCTTCCAATTTCTTGCTATCCCGTT